ACGGAGGGAGAGAAAGAGGAGAGAGAGAGGGGAGATTTTCTGCTCCAACACTTCTGAACCTTTCCTGCCTCCCCCTTCTTAATCACACACACGCACAGCTGCAACATGGCAACCCCCCCCCGCCCCAAAACACCCTCCCCTGTTCCATCCACTCTTAACATACAAGCCCCCCCACAACCCCCAACACACGCACACATCGACACACACCCCCTGTTCCCACTCCACAACACCTCCACCACTTTGCTTTACAATTCGGGTCACTTCACAGAACAACTTGGCAAAGCAGCCTCAAGAGTGATAAAGCCCTCAGAGCTGCGAGTGCATCTGATAAAAACCAACACTTCCACCAGCTACTACACAAAGGCCACACAACCCTCACTGGGAACTGTGCACTGAATTCTGCCCTCTTCAGTATAATCATTAAGAATTTCACATATTTATTTTGCATTTAATGGTTTCATAATCAAAAACGTCCATTAGATGTAAGGACATTCTGTTAAATAACATAACAATTAAAACACTGTTTAAGGGTCTAAATATTAAATCCATGCACTAATTAGTAATTTTGATTGCAGCGTCTGCTCTAAAACATTTCTTCCGAGCTTACATCACTCCGTAGGCCGAGTCCTTTTCCGCCCTGAGTTTAGTGGACACTACACAAAATATTCTTCCAGTAACACACACTGTTTAACAGCGTGAAAAGGACCGTTATCACTATAAAATGCAACCAAATGAACAGTTGCCAATTAAAAATCATTGGTTGCTGATGCAGGATCAATTTAACCGGTTCACACTTCATATTCTCTGGAACCGAACCACATTCTGCCCTCACTACACACTTAAGATGGTTATTCAAAGGCTGCTTAGTAAAGGCAATGATTCTGTTTAGAGCCATGTGTTCTAAGTAGAACTATTTCATGCTTAAATGGTTCTTTGCATGGTGAAATAGTTCTTTAGATTGATGGAGAACGTGCTGTAGTTGGTTCTATATATAACCTTTTTGAAAATAGTTCTATATAGCACCAAAAAGGGTTTTTCAATTGTTCTGGTGTCAATAGAAGAACTCTTTGGTGCTATAATGATTCAAAGAACATTTAAAGCAGGTAAGTATATAGAACCACTGCCTTTACTAAGCAACCCTTGAATAGCCATCTTAAGGGTGTAGTGAGAGCAGAATGTGGTTCGGGTACAGACAATATGAAGTGTAAACCAGTTAAATTGATCCTGCAGCAACAACCAATGATGTTCAACTGGCAGCTGTTTGTTTGGTTGCATTTTATGGTGATAACGGTCCTTTTCATGCTGTGAAACAGTGTGTGTTACTGGAGGAATATTTTGTGCAGCGTCCACTAAACACTAAGTGGAAAAGGACTCAGCGTACGGAGTGACGTAAGCTCAGAAAAAATGCTTTAGAGCAGACGCTACGAATTTACTAATTTACTAATAAGTGCATGAATTTAATATTTAGACCCTTAAACAATGTTTTACATCAATACGTCATCTAACAGAATGTCATTACATCTAATAGATGATTTTGAAAAAGTGAGTAAAGTTCAGTTTTTCAATGATATGGAACCTTTAAATTCAAAAACCAAAAACATATGTGAAATTCTTAATGATTATAATGAAGAGGGAAGAATTTAGTCGCGGGTGTACAGTTCCCACTTTTTTTAAATGTGTAAATGAGGTCAGCAGGTAGCTAACAGGCCAAAAGATTCCTTCAATAACATTTAGAAACAGATCAGCATAGAACTGGCATTAAATGTGACTAAACCAAACCACTGCTCCCCCCGTTATGACTTCATCTTATTAATTTGTTTTAACCTGTTAATCTTTTGCAAATGTTAAAAACTTGAAAAACTCATTGTGCTTTTTTAAAATGTGGCGCGCCTGTTTTGCTGGTATATGCTGTCTGTTCCAATTTGTTTGCAAACCTGAGAAAAACACAAAGAATGAAGTATTGTAGTGTTTTTTTTTTATTTAATTGACACTTTTTATATAGATGTAAAATTACATGGTAAAGAAAACATTTTGGAAGATCTTTAATGCAAATTATAAATGAAGACTAAACATTTCAACCATCAAGCGTCCCTAGAGTTAAAGTTCCATCACATTTGGGTGGCCAAAGGATCAACAGACTGCTAGTTTACCTGTCAGACGGCGCCCTCTGAAGGACAAATAGAGATGGTGCAAATTAATTTACAGAAAATACATCACCATAACTAGACTATGACTTTTGAATCATTCCACAAGATCTGTGCCACAAGGACATGCTAATATGATTTTGTCAACATTTCCCTGCTAGAAAAACCAACATAGACTAGCATGGCTGATCACCACCAAAACCAGCATATCGCTGCTGTGGGAAGAAAACCTTGTATGTCCATTTTGTTGTTTTTCAGTTTTTGACATCATTTGAAAATACCTGTTGCTCTTTACATTTCATGAAGAATGGACCAAAAGAAACAGCCCAAAATGACTTGGAAAAAAGTCTGGTTCCACTGATTTACATTAAAAGTAAAGTAGGTTTTTTCCTTCTCCTGTAAAGTTACCATTTTGGAGATACAAGGTTTTCTTCCGACAGCAGCGAAATGTTGTGTTTTGAAGCTGGTATGCTGGTCAACCGGCATCATCATGCTAGGGTGACTAGCTAAACCAGCACCAGACCAGAATAAACCAGCATAGACCAGCATGAAATGCTTGCTGCTCAAAATCATTTTTGTTAGTTTTATTATATATTTCTTTTATCAATATCAACCATGTGAGAGAAAACAGACCCTAAAGTGCCATTGAGTTAAAAATGCAGGGAACACAAAATTATTAAGGTCCCACATTACCTTTTGTCTTTCTGTAAGAGAGACTGATTGATTTCAGCCTTCTCGATTTGAATGGTGTTACATTCTCAGTTTTTTTACAACCATTTGGTCACTAATTAAGCCTCAGTCAGTAATATTATCTCTCTCACTTGTTCAGTCAGATAGATTTCTGAGATTAAATGTCTAATTGAAGTGCTGGTCATTCAATAAAAGCCAATGACTTATGGACACCAGCACTAACCAAGTCCTGCTCCTTAACGTAGCATAAAATTTATGTTATCAAGAAAGCACATATAAATACAGAAGACCCGAGAGGCCATTAGGTAGATATCATTTTCAGGTATTGTTATCTTGAGATAACGAGTTAATTATCTTGTGATCTCAAAATAGCAAAGTTGTTATCCTGAGATAATGAGTTAAGTGTCTTGTGATCTCAAGATAACAAAGTTGTTATCCTGAGATGAGTTAAGTATCTTGTGATCTCAAGATAACAAAGTTGTTATCCCGAGATAACGAGTTAAGTATCTTGTGATTTCAAGATAACAAAGTTGTTATCCTGAGATAAAAAGTTAAGTAACTTGTGATCTCCAAATAACAAAGTTGTTATCCTGAAATAACAAATTAAGTATCTTGTGATCTCAAGGGAACAAAGTTGTTAACCTGGGATCACAAGATAATTATCTTGTTATCTCAAGATAACAATCCATAAAATTATAGCAACGGCTCATGGCCTCTCTGGACTTCCGTACATATCTTAGTAAGCCCTGTGGTTTATTGGCAGCTAACATAGCGACCAACTTCTCAGCCAAACTGAGCTGCATGGCAGATAACGCAGAACATCTTTTGTACATGCTAGCGTAGCCCTCAATTCTGAGCTTTACTTGCTGCTTGGTCTGGTTGTGAAGGATTCAAAGCTATGAACGGTCATGCTGGCTGGCCGTATACCAGTGTATGCTGGTCTATCTTGGTTTTCATACCAGTCATTAATTATATCAGTGTTATCCAGAAACAGTGATGGGACATTGTGCTATGACGTACTATGACCTTTAAACAAGCATTAACTCTTGTCAGATATTGATCCAAAAACAATTAAGTATTCTTTGTCTGAAATCTGGCAATCGAATCTGATCTAAAGCTCATCAATACTTGAAAGGGAATTCCAACATTTTTTTTTTAATTTTGGAATAATTCAAAGGTTGTAAAAAGAATCAGAGTGGTTTGATGTGTACAGAAACTTACTTACTTACTGATTTCTTTACAGTGGTGGTGATAGGAACCAGGGGTCATGAATATACAGCACAAATATAGCCTTTTTATTTACTATCCAAAACCACCAGTGAAGCTACACGCGTCTTCTGCGTTTTATATGTAATGTTATATGTAATCTTTTATATGTAATAATAATATAATAATATAATATGTAATAATGGTAAAGTAGTCATGAATCTGAAAATAATCATTTTTCTCTGGAGTTTATTTGCCTTACAACGTACCCCTCTGCCATGAATGGATTAATATAAACTGATTAAAATACATTTTAAGCCACAATTTTATCACAAAACTATCATAAAACAAACCGAACAGATATCAAGCAGCACATATCTACGGAGCCCTGCTGGTGACATCCTCTATAAATAAAAATAATGCGTGGCCACACCTTCTTAACACGTGAGAACGAGATCCTAATGCGTGGCCACGACTTAGCAAGGCGTGTGAATGAGATGATTAAGTCGTGGCCATGACTTAGTACGGCGTGGGAACAAGATCACGGCTTACCAAGTCGTGGCCACGCATTAGGATCTCGTTCCCAAGCTTTACTAAGTCGTGGCCACGACTTAATCATCTCATTCTTACGCCTTACTAAGTCGTGGCCACGCATTATTTTTATTTATATGGGATGTCACCAGCGGGGCTCCGTACATATCGAACTACTTATGTAATAATTTTCTGTGAGGGAGCTTTTAGAGGTGGACGTCTGGTTCCTGAACAATTCTGACTGTGTAAGTTTCTCTAGAACGAGGCGTTTCACACCAAACCACTCTGGATGAGTCTGTTCACATCTCAACCATTTAATCATGCAGAATGTTCGTAAAATCGGTAGAGTTTCCCTTCAAAAATTGATCATCCGTTGTTTCCCACTAGCTGGCGCTGCAACGGACGCGCAACACAAACTCTCCAGCGGAAGTAAACGCGGCACCATTCAAATGCAGCAGGTGGGCTTTAAGAAAACTGTCAGTTAGTCGAGCTTCGCACCTGATTTAACATTTAAGAAGACGAAACTTTCTTTCGTCAGCGGTTTTAAAGAAGTGGCATCCGAACAACAGCTTAATTCAAAGCGAGCCGTCTGTAAACCCGCAGTATTTGAACAGCTCGACTGTTTCTGAAGAAGAAGCTGAGCTAGCTCACCGTTAGCTGACTTAGCTACCCGGCTAACTTACTGAAAATGAACGTGGCGCCGAACACAGACCTGTTTTCGCTTTTTCATGACGACGACGAGGCAGCCGAGGTGGAGACAGCCGTGCGGGCAGCGGTTATATCCATCATGAAGGTTTTCCTGGAGCTGAGCGACAAGAGAGCTAAGAGCTACCAGCTGAAGCTGGCGGAGGTGGAGAGGGAGAACCTGCAGCTCAGGCTCAAGTTAAAGGCGGCTGAACGGCAGCTTCACAGCGGCCAGCGCTCAGCATCCTCTGGGGAAAGCTACGAAATCTCAGCTAACCTGACCTTCTCACCAGAGTCCAGCCAGAGTTTCAGCACAGGCGTGGACGGAGAAGGAGAAGGAGAAGCAGGGTTTTCTCAACGTGTGTCCGAGCAGGAGGCTTGTCTGGAGGGTTCAGACTGCAGGCTGTACAAGGAAGAGCCCGCTTATGAAGACACGTTTTGGATCAAGAATGAAATTACAGAAGAGAACCCTGCAGTGGACTTTGAGTACCATGTTCTAGCACACGTGGGCAGGACAGTTAGTGGTCAACCACAGCAGCAGACCATGCCTGTGGAGAGATGTGGGGCATGCAACAGCTTCAACCACTGTGTTCAGGAGGGTGATGCAGCCCTGACAAGCCTGGAGAGAAGTATGCAGTTGGATTGTTTTGGAAAAAAACAAACAAAACCAAAAAAAAAAACATATATGTACACATATGTACACCGATCAGGCATAACATTGTGACCACCTCCTTGTTTCTACGCTCATTGTCCATTTTATCAGCTCCACTTACTATATAGGTGCACTTTGTAGTTCTACAGTTACAGACTGTGGTCCATCTGTTTCTCTGCATACTTTGTTAGCCCCCTTTTACCCTGTTCTTCAGTGGTCAGGACCCCCATGGACCCTCATAGAGCAGGTACTATTTGGGTGGTGGATCATTCTCAGCACTGCAGTAACACTGACGTGGTGGTGGTGTGTTAGTGTGTGTTGCGCTGGTCTGAGTGGATCAGACACAGCAGTGCTGCTGGAGTTTTTAAACACCTCAGTGTCACTGCTGGACTGAGAATAGTCCACCAACCAAAATATCCAGCCAACAGCGTCCTGTGGGCAGCGTCCTGTGACCACTGATGAAGGACTGGAGGATGACCAACACAAACTGTGCAGCAGCAGATGAGCTATCGTCTCTGACGTTATGTGGACTGACAAGGTAGAAGTGTCTAATAGAGTGGACAGTGAGTGGACACAGTGTTTAAAAACTCCAGCAGCACTGTGTGTGTGTGTGTGTGTAAGTATATATGCATATATGTATGTATATTTTTCTATCACCCAGACAATTTATGTGAATTAATTTTACATTAAAATACCAAAGGTTCTGACATTAATTGAAAAATTACAGTTAGGGATGCATCAGTCATAAATTTTATGGCCGAGTCCAGTTTCACAGTCAAATTGGCATTACAGCCAAATTCTATTAGCCTTTTAAACCCAGAGCTCCTGTTTCCGTGACTTTTTTATATTTAGATATGCCATTCTTTGCATGGGCTATTCAGCAAAATAAGCACAACTATGCTGTAACTTTTTGGTACAATTGTAGCAGCAGCATCGAAATACAGCACGAGCGCACTTACCTTCTTCAGGTCATTAACAGCATTAAAAAGCAACAAAATCAAATTAATACAGTCAATTACTTGTTTGGGGGAAAAATAATCTGCCTGTTTAAAAATCTTGGCCGATTTCGAATCGTGCATCCCTGTTGGAAATGTCTTGGTGAAATTGCTCGCCGTTCTGGTTGGACAGCAGCAGTCTGAGGGAAGAAATCCAGCAAACGTCTTTTTAGTGACCCGTTATTTCTCACAGCACTGTAGGATTCCAATAGGTCACTCACTACTTTATGGTTCTGCTCTATGGCTTCCCAAAGGGTCAGCCGTGCTGCCTTTTCTGCTTGACTTGCCTTGTTTTCAAAACGCCACATATTATTTTACTTCTCTAATCCGAGGGCCATCAAACATCCATTCTTTGATCTTAGCATTACTCATCTTGGGAAATGTATTCTACTGATAGATAAATCTAAATCCAGTGCTAATTTGATCCATCATCTTGACAACGTTCTTCATCAGGAAAAATGTAAACGCACATTCTCCTGACCAAAGGCACACTTAAGTATAAATGGATTAGCATAAGATAAAATAAAAACAAAACCACCACTCAAAATCTGACTGTACATTTATATTTGTGGGTATATGAATTCAGCAGCCATATAGACTGAAATATGCTTGCTAATGTAGTTTCTGACACACACAAAAATGACAAAATACAGTTTTCTGAATGGCTGCTATTACTGTTTCAAACAATCTGATATTTTTTGTGAACTTTAGATACCAAACATGCCTTAGCTGAATTATTCCTTTGACCTGTACACTGTAAAATGTGGAACAGGCCAGAAGTTGGTTTGAAGTGTTTTTGAGTTTTGAATTGATGTAAAATATATATTTTTTTTAATCTGAACTTAAATCTTGCTCTGCATTGTTTCATTCAAAGTAACTGAGTTGAAGAAAAAATCAGTTAAATTGTTTGTTACCACATTCATTTTTTCAGGTTGAATGCACACACCATTTTTTTTTACTTTCCGTTTTTTAACTTTTTCCGATTTCATGCTTCACTTTCGCAGTCACCCAGCTTTATATGTTCAGAGCAACCTGTGTCACAACCTGAAGGTGACTGGAACATACTAAGCTTGGGGATTGCAGTGAGAAGGCAGTCCCAGTCCTTTTTTGATCAAAGTACAAACGAGGGTGACCATAACAAAACACACTGGTAGTTTTTGTAATTCCTGTAATGAAGGTTCAACTGTAAGTGAATTTAATGATGATTTGTGATTGTGCTCACAGGGAGGCTGAACAGCAGCGAGAGAGTGAGGCAGTATAGAGCACGGATCCGTGCCGACCCCGAGAGGTACCTTATCTTGAAGGAGAAGGAGCGCTTGAGGTATTGATGTCATTACATAACACCAGTGGTTCTCAGTCTTGGTCCTGGAGGTGGGCCTGTCACCATCATGATATCTCAGCTGATAATTAACTGACATAGAAATAATTTAACCATTTAATTGTCTCTTTTTTGTTTTTTATTAGAGTACAAGCCAGTAGAGGCCAGATTGTCTTGCTTCCTAGCTATGGATACTGCCCTCTAAAGGCGTTATTAACAAACATTACTCACTACTGCTCTCTAAAGGCATTAGAGCACCAGTCAGAAATGAGAAGTTTGTTTTTGTAAAACCCTTGATGAGTCTCCATGTATGTGTTTTCTGTCTTTAATTTGCATGTATATCGTTGCTGTTGGGACAAAACCTTGTATCTCTTTTTGTCATTTGTCCTTTACATTGTGTGTAAATTTTATGATGAATGGACCAGAAGAAATGGCCCAAAATTATGTGAAATAAAAGTCTGGTTCCTTTGACTTACTTTAAAAGTAAAGTACGTTTTTTTCCTTCTGTAAAGTTACCATTTTGGAGATATGAGGTTTTGTTTCGACAGCAGTGATATGTTTATATGTATTTGTGTCAAACCACCTAATGCACACAGTTCACATTCTGTGACGTAGACATATAATTTCTGTATAACAACTGTGGAAAATAATTGCGAACAGGCAGTGATGTAATAATTGTAACAAACCTACCTAGAGTGCTACAGCCCTGAAAGACCCCCTGCAGTCCTCCTCTAAGAGTGCACGCAAGTGACATCATCATTGTGCAGATACATGCATATGACTGGATAAACTAACACAGGACTGTTCCAGAAGCCACGCTACTATGCATATAGTGCTCGGTTTCGCCAGATGACGACCCTCTGCTCTTTAGCTTTGCGCAAATGAGGACTGTAAGACCACGTGAGCCGATTGAGACAGGCCTTTGTAGTGTTTTTCCTGTTCTAACTCATTTGGTTCACCTCAAGAACGGCTTTATAATTAGTTCATTGGTTGCATCAGGTGTGTTTGGAGCAGGACAATCTGTAGAACGTGCAGGGCAGAGTTACTCTGTTACTCCAGCACCAGGACTGAGAACCATAGATTTGAACGAGAGTCATGGCAAACTGGCATGTTCAATCACATTTTAAGTAAACTAAACAACAACAAAAATCTATTATACTTTGTGGAAAAATAATTGATGCCAAGTGTCAAAAAGTAAGTAGTGGCTCTGTGATGTGCTGGGTGTTTGATGGTCTGCTTACTGTCCAGATATCTACAACGGAGAAAGACCATTGCAGATCTGTCTGAACCCATGAAGAAGCTGAAGAGGAAGGCTTGGAGAGAGGCTGCAAGGCGGCACCGTGCCAGGAAGCTAGCCCAGGCTACTCTCACTCATACCCATGTGACAGTGCAAAACAATATGTGACAGAGACACTTTATTTATTAACACTTTTTCTACACTGTAAAGACGAACTGTGCTTAATATGTCCAGGAATACAAACGAACAAGGTCAGTTTTTATTTCAGGTTGACTTCAGTGTGTTTCAGATGCTGCAGTGTAGACTGTTTTTGTGGAGTCTGTACCCTTTGGGCAAAAGTGCACAAGCATATTGTTGCTGTTGAGACAAAACCTTGTATCTTGTAGAACCATTCATAGGTAGGAAATGGTGAAATGAAGTGATTGAGGTGAAAGTCAAACAGTGAATCTCTTTCTCTGTCGCTCTCTCTCAAACAGTATTGACTAAACCGTGAAAACTTCAGTTTTAGCGCGAGACATTTCCAGTTGTTAATTTCAGTTCTTTGTCCATTTTAACACAACAGTAAGACACATGTAATCAGTATTATACAGAAGCACTTAATGGAACTAAATCTAGTACAAGATGATATGATGATATAGAACATTTGAATCTCGAAACATTCAAGATTGACTCGCTTGTTTCTAGCAACTGTTTACATTGACTTCCTTCATAATTTAGGGTTTCTTTTCTTTCTCCTTCCCCTGAGTAGTTTTGTTCCGACAGCAATGATAAATAAACTAGTAAAGATATTCCCAATAATTAGGTTGTACATAATCATTCATACTTGCTGTGTGAAACCTACCTGCATATGACATTGTTTAATGGAAGCCTTTGGACCCCCAACTCCCAACATGCATGATTTTCAAGCACAAACCTGTTTGATTTTGATACTGTGCTGTAGTTTGTGTCCTCTGACGAAAAAATGTTTCCTTATTTAAAATATATAGCAAATCATCCTTTTATTATTCCTGTTGGTATGATGAGAGGATTTATGATTTTGTTTGCCAGCACGTCGACAAGGTTTGTCAACTGGAACCGGAAATTAACACATTTTTCTTCCATGCCGTGATGTATTTCACAGTGAAACACAGTACACTGCAAAAAAATGATATCTTGTCAAGTAATTTCTTGTAAATATAGTCAATGAATCTTTCTCCTGTTGAGGTTGTTGTAAAGGTAAGATTATTTACCTTCTTACTAGACATTTTTACTTTTATTTTTATTAAGTAAAATTATCTCACTACAGAGTGATTTAGAAAAGATTCATCTGATTTCAAAATGATTTATTTCACTTGTAAATCATTACAGAACAATGCTGTAAATTGTAAATGGTTTAGTTTAGCATAAAGTTTATTATGTAATTTTATAAGTGCTCAGTATGAACCTCCTCCAGCTGTTCGGACAACATCAACACCATAGTCAAATTCATCCCTACTCAATTGAGCATGTCGGGTGTCGCTGTACTCACAGCTCTTTCAGTGCGATTTCGGAGATCATCCAGCGTTGTGGAACCAACGCTGAACGCTCTGAGCTGTTGGAGGTTCACTGCCAATGAAAATCACGTTGCACAGTTATGACGGATTCACTCTTATTGAAGTGGAGAACGCAAAATGCTTTCTGTTCAGGGGTCTCCATCTCCTTGCAGACTGAAGGGAACCATCTTGACAGTCAGAAATTCTATGACCCCCTCTTTCAATTGGTATGTGATTGGTTCCTAGGCGCATCACGGTTGTAAAAATATGGCACTTTGAAATCGGATGAATCTTTTTGAATCACCCTGTATAGTGGCAGGTAATATTGCTTGTTCTAAGAAATGTGCTTAAAACCAGCAAAATTATCTGCCAGTATAGTGAGGTAATTTTACTTAATACAATTACCTAAAACAAGTGAAAAATGACTAGAAATAAGCTAGATAATTTTATAATAAGTGCACAACCATCTCAAAATGGGAAATATTAGATATATTGACTAGATTTAAGATCATTTCACTTGACGATTCCATTTTTTGCAGTGTAATAACAAGGCTCTCTGAGATAGCTGATTGTCTTTTAATGATAGGGTGGGAAGGGAGCATGTAAAACATTTTACTGGTTAATATTATTTTACCCTGCCCGCTGCTGTATGGTGATGCAATCAAAACTCAGGAGGTATTTTTAAAGGCGGGACAAACACCATTACATTTTGTCTCAACTGATTCATGATGAGTTGTTAATCTAACCAGGGACTAAAAAGCTAAAAAGTCCACTTTGATTTTGGGTGTACATTTAATGTTTCAGATGATAGTTCTGCAGTGTAGACAGTGTGATAGTTTGGATAACATGCCAGTATCAGCAATGAAATTACCCAACACTGAACATGAAATAAAGCTTTATTGATAAGTTCTGATATCTTTGTTGTTGCTGTATGAAAACCTCATAACTGTTTTTAACACAATTTATAAGGTGCAATTGTGTGAATGAATGGACCTATATATATATATATATATATATATATATATATATATATATATAGGTCCATTCATTCACACAATATATATGTATGTATATATATATACACACACACACACACACCACCAATCAGGCATAACATTGTGACCACCTCCTTGTTTCTACGCTCACTGTCCATTTTATCAGCTCTACTTACTATATAGGAGCACTTTGTAGTTCTACAGTTACAGACTGTAGTCCATCTGTTTCTCTGCATACTTTGTTAGCCCCCGGGTATTATTAGAGCAGGTATTATTTGGGTGGTGGATTTTCAGCACTGCAGTGACACTGACGTGGTGGTGGTGTGTTAGTGTGTGTTGTGCTGGTACAAGTGGATCAGACACAGCAGTGCTGCTGGAGTTTTTAAACACTGTGTCCACTCACTGTCCACTCTAATAGACACTCCTACCTTGTCAGTCCACCTTGTAGATGTAAAGTCAGAGACGATAGCTCATCTGCTGCTGCACAGTTTGTGTTGGTCATCCTCCAGTCCTGGTCACAGGACACTGCCCACAGGACACTTGCTGGCTGGATATTTTTGGTTGGTAGACTATTCTCAGTCCAGCAGTGACACTGAGGTGTTTAAAAACTCCAGCAGCACTGCTGTGTCTGATCCACTCAGACCAGCACAACACACTAACACACCACCACCATGTCAGTGTTACTGCAGTGCTGAGAATGATCCACCACCCAAATAGTACCTGCTCTGTGAGGGTCCATGGGGGTCCTGACCACTGAAGAACAAGGTAAAAGGGGGCTAACAAAGTATGCAGAGAAACAGATGGACTACAGTCTGTAACTGTAGAACTACAAAGTGCACCTATATAGTAAGTGGAGCTGATAAAATGGACAATGAGCGTAGAAACAAGGAGGTGGTCATAATGTTATGCCTGATTGGTGTGTGTGTGTGTATATATATATATACACACACATACACACACAGATATTTAACAGTAACGTTCTCACTGTCTGTGCAGTTGTTTTGATCAAAATAAAGTACCAAACTGCACCATATAATGTTGCCTTCTGTCGTTCACCCAGTTTAACTTAATCTAACTTACTGTAGGTGGACAGTTTTTCCAGCATGTTTTATTTCAAAGATGCCGTCAAATACGTCTTAAAGACCACCTGTACAACCCCCAAATTAGTACTAAATAACTGTAATACTAAAGTAATTTGTGACATGATAAAAGTACAACCCAAAAGGCAAAACAAATGCAAATAGATGCCAACTTCGGTCCACTTTTTGCTGTGTAGAAAACTAAGCCACAAAAGTAAGTAGGTGCTACTCCCCAAAACTGTAGTTCTATATTGAGCTGCATGATGATACAATATGAGAAATACAGCTTCAGTTTCTAAATGTAGTTTTGTTATAACCGAAGTTTGGGAGGAGGGACATTCCTGAAACCCCTCCTTCTTCCAATCTAACACCCTATAAATTCACACGCTCACCTTCCGTTCCGTGACAAAGTGTTCACAGTCCCCAGTGCCACCCCCATCTTCTTGTTCCTCAGTCCTGCATCAGCTATGAGGGGGTCTGGCCTTCTAGCTACAGACAGAAGCGGCCCAGAACTCCTGTTCAAGTTCTCAGAGTTCTTCACCCTCCCTCAGTCAGTCTTCTCTCATACTACCACCACATGTAGAAGGCCTGGTCTGAACTCACAAATGATCATTTTACCTGAACCCACTGCACCTCAAAGTGACCGTCAGTCAAATCTCTCTTTTTAGGTACCTGAATGCAAATGAAATAAGAAAGAAATGGCTCAACACGTCTCCTCCAACAACCTTTAAATCTGTGGTGTCCAGACTTTTTGTCTTGTGGTGAACTGAGGGCCAAAAGACAGAACAATGCACAAGGAAAGAAGGCAGGTAGGATTACGGGTATTTTATAACATTACACCACTGGTCACCAACCCTGGTCCTGGAGATCTGCCTTCCTGTGGGCTGCAGTTTAAACCACACCTGCTCCAGCTAATTAACTTCTTCAGAAGTCCTTGATCGGCTGGATCAGACCTAAGAGAGCAGGAATAGGGTGGAGCAGCATATTAAATACAGGTAGGAGCTAAACTTTGCAAGGAAACAGATTTACAGGAGGAGCATTGGTGACTTTGTTACTAAAATTTGTGACAAATACATTATTTAAAAGACAAATTTAATAAGTTACATACAGTATAGGAGAGGGTTGGGGTTAGGGCACATGTGTGAAGTTCCAGTCCTCACAGGCCAGCACTCTGCCTTATTAAACACACCTGATTCAGCTCATCTGCTAGTTAGCAAGACCTTTATGAACTGAATTCAGAGCGTTAGATAAGAGTAAATGTTAATCTCTGCAGCAGTTTGGCCCGGAAGGTGCCCAGTGTAACATGCCTGGGTTAGGGTAACTTTCTGGCAAAAGTTCAAGCATCCCCACAGGCCAGTTTTGACCCAGACAGTCCTGACTTAAAGTGTAGGTGGGATTTTAGTGATGTCAGCTTAATGAACTTCACCATAAATAATAGTCAATTTTAACATCTTGTCAAAAGTAAAAGCTAAAATCAAGACAGGTTTATTGTAGTGTGGATTCAAGCTATCTTTAATTATACACTGTCATTTGGATTTGATTTGAGCTTTAAAAATACAAAGCTGGTTTTTCACTGGGCAGTGTGATGCAGTGTGGTACAGTTACAAATCATGATTGCTTTTTAGACAAAAATTAAACATTTGATACTTGTGTAATTGAATTACATGTCAATCAGTAACAACCCTACCAGGCACTCTAGAGGCTACCCGTAAATACAGATTAAGAGTAACTTTACTTTGGTAATAGGATTGTATATTTTCCCTGAAGTGCATTTATAATATTTGTGTGGTTTTATGTACCAAAAAACATTTTTTTACACGACCATTGACAATCTTAACAGGCTGGTTTTGTTACTGTGCCTGTATGACTGGTGTATGTAAAATAGCTCTGTTCTATTTTTATTTTTCTATTTTTCAATTTATATTATATTTACAGTGTCTGTGCATGACTTCTATTCTAATTGTGAGTCTGAAACCCTCCTGCAGCACGAATGGGTGGAGTAAAGAAATTGCAGTTTTCCACGATATGGGCCCTTTAACTGTTCATAAACGCACAGTGAAGTGAACCCTGTTGAGATATGTTAATATGTGTAGCCACTCAAGTTCTATATTTTCCAGTTTTAAAACAAAACACTTCCACTTGTCATCATTTTACTTCCCTCTGGGCTGAAAATTCAAATCAGAAGTGTTAAAGCAGGAAAAACACAAGGACAAAGACTGGAAACAGTGTTCAAAACTGTGGTTTTATATGTCTTTGACTAATGTCATTTACAGTTTTATGCAAAATTTTAGGTGCTCCTTGTTGAATTACACCTTTTGTTGATTTTCTAAGTGAAATAACACGTTCTACAAAGAACACACTTCTGCACATTTTAATACACAATTACTCTGTATTTGCTGCATTTAACATACTGGAAAAAATATATAATATAGTCTGTGCAAACGTTATGACACATTCTGTATGTATTTTTTTAAGTTAATAAATAGAAATTGTGCACTAAAATATGTTCTCTGTAGAGGATGTGTGACTTATTCTCACTTAGAAAGCCAACAAAACGTCACTTAGCCCGGCGTGGTCAAACTTTGGCACACAACTGTACAGTGGCATTACTTATGACTGACCTACACATCTATACTAGAAATACACACATCCATGTCACCTTTCATGTCAAATGAAAGCAACACTGTTTAAAGCCCATATCTGAATAAATGGGTCAGTATACTTTATTTTGTGATTATTATTTTACCATTGAGAGCAGAATTCACAATCTTAATGGGACAAGTATACGAGGACAGATTTTATTTACATTTTTTTATTGAAAAAGTTGGAAGAAAAATACAAGCTCCACTTTCAAGATTCAAAAACATGTAGAAAAAAAGAGTTTTATATATATATAATCCAAATTATCTATATTTCAGTAATGCACATGTATGCATGTACAATCATGCATTTTTAATACATTTTTGAGAAAGTATTCATTTAATAAAATAAGCTGCTTATGGGAGATGTGGATTTGATTAAGTTTAAATGATAAAAATATATTTGTTGCATTTTTAGGCTGTAAAAATAAAAAATAAAATAGTAACAAATGGTTGTTTCATCAGTTTAATTATATATAAATACATAAATATATGTGTATGTATGTGTAAATGACAAGTATAATAATAATAATAATAATAATATAATAATAAAATAAATAGTTTAAAAAAACTAATCACTGTTAATAAAAACAATATACTAAACTATGTATGTGTGTATGTGTGTATACACATATGTATGTGTGTGTATATATATATATATATAATTTACATATGTATAGTTCATGTTGTTGATCCTGGTTGTTAAAGCTCTCTGCTCTGCTGCTGTTGATGTTAATGACAGTGGATGCTAACTGCTAATGGCGCAACTCTCCTGGTAATGCGCGTCTTACACAAGCCTTTATGGCTGAACGTAAACAGGGATTTGCGCTAAGCACAGGCAATGCAGCGCACCAGACCGGCGGGTGGGCGGGGGACCGTGTGGGGGGTGTTTTTCTGGGGACACATGTTTGCTGTGTAGCGTCTGGTCCTCTTTCTTTCAGTGAAACATGAGCCGCACGGTCAGTTAGTCAGGCTGCACACACAGCATCTGCTGTCAGCGGCGCTCAGAGCACCACCTGCCCGCCTGCTCATCGGTCTCTGCGCTCTGGGCTCCTTTGTGCTGAGGCACTGAGCGCCGCTATGGGACTCCATATGGACTGTGAGGATTACACCAGTCACGCATGTTGTTTTTAGCCTATTTTGCGCACGATAGCGTCCATTTGGCTGTATTTTTTGCCTGTGCACGACCACGAGCCTGGGTTTAAGGTGGGCTGAGCGCAGGGGGCGAAGAAGTGGAGGTGGACACGCTCAGACTCGCATCCCAGACTTGGGCCATTGCTTCTGGCATTTAAGTTGTTTTGCCTGCTGCCTTCTGAATTTTGAATTCAGAGAATCAGAATTGTGAGTTTTTTTTCTTTTCTTTTTTTTCCAAACATCAGGAAAAAGAGGTGTTAGATGAGGAAGTGTGTCATAATGTGTTAAGATAGCTGTTGAGCTGCTATGCTGTTTTCTGGCTCTATATTCATAAATAGCCCTCAGATGAATACAGATATCTGTCTATAACCTCTTAATCTGGGCTACAGAAATAGCCTGTAAAGTATATTATCCTAAAACACTTTATTACCATTGCAAGTAACAGGCAGGTGGTGCTCTGCTAGCTTTAAGTGCACTAACCTTGGCTGCAATATGACCACAATTGATCCAAACCTTCTGCTCTTTGGGCTTAAGTAAGCTTACCTAAGTACTGCTAGTTGGTATTTTATTAGAATATGACTAAATAATTTTTTTTCTGGCATAAAATTGTTTTTAAAATGTATTCAGAACGGCTTGCAGGGTGCACTCCATAGTGTGCCTTCAAAACTCAGACATTGCAAAATTGTCATATTTAAAACATTAATATATATAAATAATTTCGGTTTTGCACAGGTCAGCTCTGACTTGTAAATTTTCACAAATGTTGAATCCAAATGTACTTTCCTGTTATAAATGAGAGTCTTTGTTGCTCTAATGTAGTGCAATAATAAGCTCTTTTCCTATGGATACCCACCTGCACCCTTACAGAGTCCCTTTCGTTCAGTTAGACCCAGCACTCCCAGTGGATGCCTCATATTTTCAGTGCCTTTTTTTCCGTTTTTTTTGGTTTATTCCTACAGAATAATCTCAATTTTGACTCCAAATTGCCTTATAGTATAAATTCTGACCTTTTGGAGCAAGTGGCACTGTCTGGCAAGCTCTCAAAGGCTCTTTGGAGACTCTGTGCGCCTCCAGCTGTCTCCAGAGTGACAGTTGCCTTGCTGTATAGGCTATTTGACTGTTGGGAGGCTGGAATATTTGAATGTCATTGGGGGAGGACGAGGGTAGCTTGAGGAAGGGGCTGCTCAATAGAGGGTTGCATGCATACCATTTGACAGGAGCAAGTGGAGGCTTGTGCATAGTGTGGTGCCTAATGGGCCCTTTTTGAGCCACCAGGGCCTTCTATATGGCTCCAAAATGGTATGGTCCATTATGAACACCCCTGTTTTGAGAGCTAACATGGAAGTGGCCTTGTTGCAGGGATTGCTGGGAAGAAGAAGTACAGTCGAGATTGGGAATTTGGAGAGGGAGGTAGCTCTCTGAAGAGGTAAGAAAGGCTATGATGTCCAATGGCTAGGCTGCCAATGGATGGATGGGGTGCATTGTGAGACACTGTGGGTTACATCCATGCCAGTGGATGCATGTTTAGAGGTGGTATATTGGGTTTATACTGGGTTGAAAAAAGGATATTGAGCTGAGCATGAGTAAGGAAACATGGAGAGGCTGCTAGGGGGAGCTAGAGCTAAGCTGGCCAGGCAGGCTTGACTGTGATCTGCTTTAGAGGGGTTGTGGACCCTCTGAGATACTCACATTGTTAGATAAACACAGGAAAAGGTGTGCATTGTTGTCTTATGGCTGTAAGAAGTAGTTTTTCTGTTGTTGTGTCTTGGTCCCAGGGCTGCAGTCCAAGGGGAGTGCCAAGATTAGCAAGCAGGCTAAGATCTGTAGAAGAAAGACAGGAAACTGTTACAAAAGTGGAAAATGAGGAAGGAGAGCCATTCAAAGTAAATACATCTATGCAAATGAGCCCCTCTAGTATGTTTTTGTGTGCATTTTGTTAGTCAAATTGGACAGATTAACTCCCCCTATGTGTATTGACAGAGAGTTTTAAAGATGGCCGCTCCTCACGTAGAGTGAGTGCAGTTGAAGTTGCTCACTTCCTGACTCAAACCCCATTCTGCTGTGTTTACCACCGTACTGAACCTTTCTGACATGTAAACATGTTAAAAACATATATTTGATTGACAAATTTTTGATTTTTGTACATTTGTAAAGCTCATTAGCCAGTGGGAGGCTGTACTGTGGCCTAATCTGGCTCTTTTTTTAGAGTAGAAGCCTCAGCCCTCGTGGTTCACTTGTTGTGGAGGGATCGTGTGTGTGGATAGTCGGAGTAGGCAGAGCTGGAAGCAGTTTAACCGTTTAACCGTTTGATTGTGTGTAAACAAAGACTAGTTTACAGTGTCTCTTATCACCAGGACTACTGTTTTAGACTGCTGGTGGCTCATATGAGCTGACAGGATTATACTCAAGTATTATTCATTCCTAACAATGCCTTGTCGATGAAGGGGACGTGGGTGCGTTAGTCCGTTAACCCACCTAAAGGGTTAAAATAGGTTCACGATACTTATTATTACATACAAATTTAGGCTAAGTACTCTTTGTTTGCTTAATTGATTGAATTACCATCATTTAGAAATATTACTTTCATTTTCTACATTTATTTATTGTTCATCAATAAAATTTCACCTATTAACCCTTTCATTGCCTACAGTCCTAATTGTTTTAAAAAGGAGCCCATCTCTGGAAACTGGATGTACAATTGCAAAGAGGCCTCTGATTTAATTGAGCACATTTTCTGTTTACAAAAGTTCAGTTTAGCCTCCAATTCCACCATGAATACCACATTTCACATCCTGATGAATTCACTTCAAATGGAGCATCAAAATGATCTCTCATATATATAGTCTAAAGCAGATCTGATGTAATGAAAAGCCTAACCAGACATTGAAAATGCAGCTGTAAGAAGTAAATGAAGGAAAACATGAAAAACCTGAAAAACCTTCTTTTTAAAATATCCCATTTTGTAGCTTAGTATTTTATTATTCACACTTAAACAGAGTGCTTATAATGCTTTTAAAGGAATCACATCCCTAAAGGCTGTTGTGTACGCCTTTGAGGCTCAGTGCCTAAAAGTGTCTGGGATGTAAAGGGTTAAAATTGAACTCCTTTGGTGGCCTCCCAGTCAGGTTGTCTCAGCATTCAGTGTGACAGATTTTGGACATAAATGTAAAAAATGTAAATCACTGCCCCCTCTGGTGAGTTTAGGGAACAGGCGTGGTAATTTTGAAAGCTGCCAACATGTATGTTATTGCAAAGTACAGCTCTTGGCTACATAAACCCATAGAAAAGCCACAGGCCTGTTTGGAGCAGCCCTGAGGGGAGCTTTACTGTAGAAATCTCACTGCAGGCAGAGGCGCACTGTGGGTCAAAGGCCTACCCCAGTGGTATGTAAGTATGTGTGAACTACATGTGTCTGAGTTGGAGTCAAGTGCAAGTCCTGTGCGCTCAGTTTGGCATCTGTGATTTTTCTGCTTCACTTCCTGAGCCTTGGTTTGGATAGTGGGTTGATAAGACCTCTAGAAAGTATGACATATATATAGCCAACACTGTTATCTCTACAGTGCATGTTTGACAAGCATGGACGATATTTCAGGGTTTTCCTCCATGCTTGAATTAAATTTCTCTAGTATTTTTAATGTAGCTATGTAGAACTTCCTGATCTGTCAGTCTTTTTATAATTCTTTGTAAAAACTCTGAACACGCCCATCCCAAACATCTCGTTGCCTGACGTATCATTAATTCCATTCTCATATAGCATCCGCCTATAGTCCATAAACCCCTTCATAAGGGCTTAGGGTTTGTTTTTTCCTAGTAACAGTTGTTATCTTCACTGCTGGAGATCAGTAATGTGATGCCTGGTTAAATTTTAATGAGAACTGTTCCTGCATTCTTTAAGCACAGTTCAATATTGGCCCTGATCAAAGCTGTGTATCAAATTTACCATCTGTTTTCTTGAAGACGACTTCTTGTAGGTACTTCATGTGGGACGTACTGCAGTTAAACCTCATTGAGATCAAAGCTTTAGTGTTTGAAGCAATTACAGCCTGTTGTTCCTTAATTCAGAACAATGCCGCAGGACATATCCCCAATACCTTGCCTCAATAAATTTCAAGATCTAGACTGCTAAACTGAAATGCTTTTGGCCCGAAAGTGGCATTCTGTAAGGTTGCATTATTTCAATATATTTTAAAGCAAGATTTCCCTGATCATCAACTTGAACAAGAGGTCTCTGAGGCCCAAATGAAGCCTTAATTCTGCTCAACCTGCATCTTTTCACAAGTCTCACAAAGGAAAGCTAAAAAGGCAGTTGGGTGGGATTACACAACTTCTGTCGTCTCTCCGTCTTTTATGCTAGTTCATGGTACATAATGGAGGACAACTCTGATCTTCTCCTTTTTGTCTTAATGTAGTGTCAGACCACACTCAGCATGGTGGTTTGAAGGCTTTTATCCATTAACTCTGAAGTCTCATGAACTCCTAACCTCCTTGTTCCTCTTGCATTGAGAGGAACAGGAACTGAACTGCATTATTGAGACATGTATTGGTTTTAATTATGCTTTCATTTTGGAGAAACAAAGTGAAACATTGACCCAAAATCTGCCAGAAATAAGTTTGAGTTCTGTGCTGTTGCTTTTACCAACTAGTTGAGCTTATCCACCCTATGCTCTGGTCTCCACGGGAGAACTGATAAGAAACTACACTGCGCGTTGTTCTTCTTATATGGTCAAATGTTGTGCAGTTCTGTGAAGCATGTTTATGTTAATTAAAGGCCTTAAAGTGATTCCTTACAATCTCTTATTTTTCGCAGGAATTCTTGTGACCTCAGAAGTAAGATTTCCAGGGAAGCGCTTGGAGGAAGGTGTCCTGTGTACACGCCCCAGAGAGGACTGCAACGTAAGACTCAACTTTGCGCTAACCCTGTTTGAACCCATGCAACTGGTGGTGGTGACATCCACTTACGTTTAACAGAAACTGAAACTGTTCCCATGCAACAGCATGTAAAAACATCTGTGCCACTAGTTTGAAGATTACTGGTTCAAAAAAAACCAATAGTTTTTATGTGAATGTGTAGTGAGTAGGTGGTGCATATGCCTTATTGCAATCACAGTCTGGCTTTTTGTTCATTGAGTGTTTTTTTTGTTTTGTTTAAGAATTTCACGAAAGTCAGGCCAAGAAATGACTTCTAAAAAGCATCATTTATGATGATAAATGTCAGTCATTAACTCTTGTAGCAATTCCAAATATATTCTGATGAGGCTTTATGAATTTAATTCTCAACCCCCTGTACACTCTTATGGAAACAGTTCGGCAAAGAAAAACAAATTTACTCAATTTCCCATTTACGATGTAGTCGATCAGCCAAGACAGCCAAGAGTCCAAATTCTGCTTCTTTAGTTTACAGCTGGAGCTGCAAGTCTAATGTTGCTAACAAACACTAGAACTCAATAGTCACCCAAACAGCCCAAATCGTTTCTGTAAAAAATACATCCTCAAAAACATCTGCAGACTTGCTAGTGTTGGTTAGAGCACAGTAAGACTTAGTATGGGCTATAAAATGAAGAAAACCACACGGCTATAGGAAGCCATTTCAGGCAACGCCAGGGCTGCTATTCAAATGGCAGCACTGATCTTGGATCAGATTCCTGAATATTTATGACAGCCATTGTCACAAATACTGATTCCAGATCAGCATTCCTTCTCCTGAGGTGGTCTGCAAATACAGACCCTGTTGTCTAAAGTCGCTGCCCGCAGTTTTGTTCATTTTCATAGTTCACAAAAAAATATAGGTTAAAATAAGCTGTGGTGAAATTTTTTTTCTTTTTTTTGTGATCAACTATTAATTGCATTTTTCATCATGTTTTTCCACAAGGGTGGGGAGAGGTTAGGGGAGGGGAAGACAGGACACTGTCATACATTTATACACATCAATACACACGTCAAAAATAAAGCAAAGACATTATATAAACAACTACACAACTAAACAACATCACATAAATTAATTGAAACCTAAAGTTCTTGAATAGAGTCATATAAATTCTCCCAGTTTCTTATTGTTGACTGTTTTGCCTTGTTAAGCTTAGCTGTAAGATATTCCATCCAAACTATATTTTGAAAACTAGATATCCAGAATTTCATAGCTGAATGATATTTTTTTTAAAAAATGGTTAGAGCTATTTAGGTGACTGCTGAGTTCTAGTGTTTATTAGCAATGTTAGCCTCGCTGCTCCAATTCTAAACTAAAGAAGCAAAAGTTGGATTCCAAACTCCAACTAAATCTGGGGAAAGTGGAAAATTGAGTAAATTAGATTTTTCTAATTTAAAACACACTAATGATTCTTAACTTAAATGTATGGCTCTACAGAAAACCGTACATTAGTACAGAACCTTTACATTATGTGTAGGTTCTAAACTATAAAAAGGTTCTTCACATTCACATTTACAAAAATGATTATTTTAAAGAACCAGCAGTCAGAAGGTTCTTTAGGGAATCAAGTGTTCTTTTTGTATTGCTGCATCTTTATTTGTAAGTTTTGTTAGTCGACTCTTACTGGCGGTATCGCTGCCTTTCTTCTGACCTCTGCTGTGGCGCCTTTGCGGAAAGTATTTAACCACAAGCTCTTTGCTGCAACGTGGTCCCTTTTGTCACCTCTTAACACTCACCCAAACATAGCAACCTTGAAAAAGAGCAAGGGATGCTCAGTGGTTTCATTGTGATTAAGATTCAAAAAGCGGTATAATAATTGATCGTCTCGACACATGAATGAAGCAAAACTTGATTATCAAGCTCAGACATATTTTGTCTAGACTATGTAGCAAAACTTGACTGTCAGAACAGACCAGACGGTCAAAGAATGTGATGTCCCTCACAGCTGTTTAGGAAGCAGCTGAAAACAGTTGTATGACAGCTGCATAACACTTGCGAAAGCTTTAAAAACGCATTTCAGATTGCTAATGCTTTGTTTCCCAGTGGATCTTATACATGTCTTTACATTCTTTACATATCATTTAATCTGGAAATCATAGTTTCACTTAACTTCAATGTAAACACTTCAGACAGCAATGCTCTTCTTTGGACTGCTTGTTTCTTGTTGTGCCTAAATGTAATATTTGTGCTAATTAAGTAAGTACATACTCTGCAGTTGCTGATTTATGGCCAATTGAGGCAAAGCGCGTTGCAGCCATTTTCTGTGCAGTGAGAGGGATTGCGGAACAGCTGCATTTTTTTCCCTCCCTAACCCAATCAGCATTGCTCAGACATGAGTCACTCCCACACCCTGCCCTTATATGGCACAGCTTTCTCTCTAGCCGGAGACTGAAATGGTGGCTGCCTGTACAAAAACAGGAGCAGCACCATTAGGAAGGGAACAGCTACAGACGTAAAGCAGGTAAGATCCATAGATTAGCCCCCTTTTTTATACAGTTTCAATCAGCATGCCTCATGTGAAGTCATTTTGTGGTAATCTTGCTGTTTAATGTCGTTAGTTAGGCTGCATTTGGTTTGTTTTTCCTTTTAAGCTAACCAGTTTAGCCTGACAGCAGGCAGTGCTTCATTGCTTGCCCCACTCCCTACACTGTACAATGTATCGGCTGACTTATGTGAAGAAATACGTTGAGTCTTTTTTGTCTGTACACGTTTTCTGCTTCTAAATAAATGCAGTACCAGATTTTTGACTAATGTAAACACACTGGGTACAAAACAGAGAGAGTAGACTTTAGTTAAATTGGTTTAGTCTGGGAATAACAGGCAGTTTCATGTCTTTTGATACATGTTTGCTTGAAAATTGATCCTTACTGGCAACTGTAACAACAGCCACTGTGGGAATGGGAAATAAGTTCCTGCCTTTTTTCTGTTCCTCAACACTTCAGGAAATGGTACAAGCTTCCTCTCACAATTCAAAGCATTACTTAAATCCAGCATTTGAAGAGAACTTGTAGTGGTGAAACAGGTTAAGCTAAGATTGTTAATGGGTGAATTGCATTACTACCTCAACTTGAGTCCGATACAAGATGTAATCTATTCCGGGGAAAGTGTGGCCGTAACGATATTAGGAGGAGATAAACCTCTTTCAAAGGGACATACCATATTTCTCGTCTCCGCTAATTCAGAACTGGACAGCAACCTACTGCACCCATGGGGGGTGTGGGGTAGGCCAGGTTATACTGGACTGCTTTTCTTCTAAAGTGATGTTTAAGTGTTTGCTAATGGAAAACCCTAAGACAGCAAAAAAGAAGAGGAACCGAGATCAAACTAAAACATAGTGGCTCTGGAGAACATGGATAATGAATTTTCTTACTTTAGTGGTTGGGGATAAAGAAAAAATATCATTTCGTTTTTCTGATTTCTGAGTTGCAACAGACAAAAAAGACATTTAAAAAAAACCTTTACCAAAAACTATAAATGCAATTTCTATTCAGTGTTTGTATTGAAACATGCAGTTGGTTGGTTATATCCAACATATGCTCAGAAAAGTATATTGTGTAAGTAATTTATCACAATAAAAATAAATATTGTCATACTGCCCATATCTGCCTTATCACAGTGATGGCTCTGTTCATATATGTTTTTATTAACCATCTACTTTTCCTTCTTTCAGAATCGCAGGGGACCAAAGACTACCTGAATGAAAGGCCGCTGACCCTCTGCATTCATGGCGGACAAGGAGCAAATCAAACAGACTGCAGTCAAGGTGCTGGGCTATGTGGAGAAAATCTCCTCCTTCGCCTCCTCCATAGACCCCCTTTTCGGCATAGTCACCTCCCTGGTCGGGGTTGTGAGGAAGGGTCTGGTGGAAGAAGAAGTTCATGAAGTGGACAAGGACTTCCGTCAGATCCATGACAAGCTGGAGAGCATCTCGGAGAAGAACAAGCAGACCCTGCGACAGATCCGCATAGACGAGGTAAACGAGACCTTTGGCAAGTACGAGGAATACATCAAGCACCAGTATGGCGCCTTCAACACTATGGTGGAGAGGGTCAAGGTGGATCCTGAAAACGTAAGGCGTTACATGCAAGACTTTGAGAAGATCTACGAAAGGGACAAGAGCGACTTAAGCTTGGATGTCTACTATCGTGGCGTTATGGGAACTGGCACAGTGTTTGGGAGGCCCCTGCTGAATGTTTACTTGGAGAACTGCGACAAGAACAGGAAGGTGATGGAGGCCAGGTGCTCTCACCTGGCTCATCTCTTCCATATCGGCCTCATAGCGTTGATGGCCTACACCTCAGTCACTGAGGATGACGAGGATGAGGTCAGGGAGAAATGGGCCCAAAGGGTCATTGACATTCAGACCAAGATGCAAGAGATCCTGGACCAGTGTCAGGAGGAGGACTGATATCAAATGCACTGAACCATTACTGAAATATAATCATCTCATTTTCTGCAGGTTTGTAGTGAAACAAGCAATCAAAGAATGGAACAAGCAATCAAAGAAGCCAAAGTAACTTATATGGGTAATGAGGAACCTTCTGTTTTCTTTCTGTGGTCTTTCCTATACAGTTTGTGTCCTTTTTGTATAGCACTTACACATTCTTTACTTTTTTTTTATTTACTTTAAACAAGATTATGTGTGCAAAAAATCAAGTAGGCTGAAATGCTGAATCTTAAAGTGTGGCTGAATGTATAGTAAAGTTTGAAGCTTTGCTTTGACATATTTGTGTATTTTATTTCACATTGCTGTTACTCATTTTTGCTGAATATTGAGATTTTGCAACTGTGTACCACACTGTTTGACTTGTTTGCACAAAAATAAATATTTTCCGTTTCCAGTACATACTCTGATTTTAGCCTTTTTCGCTATTAGCTTTAGTTTGGAAATGAGATTTGCTACACTTATCTGATCAACATACAGTGTTGAAATAATTTTAAACATTATTATTTCAGACAACATCAGCTGTTATCAGTATGGCTGAAATCTCTGAATGCGTTCAGGTATCTTTTTAGCTTATTCCTAGTCGCTGGGCTACTCACCCTAGCTGCATATGCAAATAGGTATGCTTTGCATTCAGTTGGGAACCAACCACTGCAGGCACCACAGAGGATTAGACATTACCATATCAACTACTCCCACTTCGAAGTCTATGATAAACTGCCATGGGATTCTTCCAAGCAAAATGACATTGCTATGAATGGTATAATGTGGCTAACCTCTCCTCATAGTGATGGATTTGACCTCATACAAGGTGGCTATTCTCTTATTTGTAAATGAAAGAAGCCAGACTGGATTGTGTTAAGGTATACCAGTATTACTTTGTGCTTTTCCTATATGATTTAATGCATACAATATGATGTTTCTGCCAAAATTAAGTCATATATCTCATTACATGCTTTCAGATAAGATGGCTGACTTTATAATATGACTCAAATTATCCTTTTCTTCCATTTAAGGCCTTCATTTCTTTGAAAAGAGCCTCTGTCTGTTTGCCATGGCTGACATTGAGATCTTAGAGGACCGAGACAAGCTGAAGAGAGGACTGGTGAAAGTCCTGGAGTGTGTGGCTACAATCTCGTCAGCGGCCGCCGTGGTGAACCCCATCTTTGGTGTGGCAGGCTCGCTGATCCGCGTAGTCCTGCACCACGTTGACGACGAAGAGATCCAGACGCTGAAGCGCGAGTTCAGCAGTGTGAACCGGGCGCTGGACGAGATCTCCCAGCAGAACCGAAGCGCCCTACTGCAGATCAAGAAAGAGACGCTGGACGGCCAGTACTGCCGCGTGGAGGAGAACATCCGCAACCAGTTCCGCAAATTCATGGAGATCGTGGAGGCGCGGCCGGAGTACCAACAACGCAAAAAGGACGACTTTGAGGAGAGCTACGCCAACGACATGGGCGATCAGAACCTGCACACGCTCTACGACGGTGTCATGGGGAAGCCCAAGCTCTTCAGCAGGCCCATCTTGGAGGTCTACATGACCCATTCCCAGGGCGACCGGCGGGTGATGGAGCGCCTGTGCACCCGCCTCACCTACCTCTTCTGCATCGGGCTGATCGCCCTCATGGGTTACGCTGCCATCATCGGGGATGATGAGGAAGGCTTGAGCGAGGAATGGGCTGAGAAGATGGAAAATGTGCAGGAGAGGATGCAGGAGGTGCTGAGAAGATGCAAGTGATTCTTCCTCCTGTTCTACTCACCGGACTCCTTATGTTTTCCCTAGAGCAATGGTCACCAACCCTGATGCTGGAGATCTACCTAGTTTCAACCATAACCAGCTCCAGCTAATTAGCTTTTTCAGAAGTTCTTGATTGGCACGATCAGATCAGTTAGTGTTAAGTAAGTTGGGCAGCATGTTAGATGAAGGTTGGAATAAAAATGTGCATGAAAATAGATCTTCAAAAGGAGATTTGGTGACTGCTGCCCCTAGAGCATTGGTCACCATCCATCTTCCTGGAGGTCTAGCTGTTCTTGAAGATCCACTAACCACCAACCGTAATCTAACAGACCTGATCCAGCTGACTGAAGAAATCAAAAAACATTGCTTACAAAAATGAAAAAGAAACAGGCACCAATTTGCATAATGCTAATAACACTTACTTGGTGGTTAAAGGCTTCCATTTGCTGTTAGACAAATTTGCATATCTGGTCAAACTACTCCCTTAAAGTCTTCTGAAAAGACTGTTTAATTCGATCAGGTTAAGTAGACTTGGGTTCCAACTAAACTATTCAGGAACGTAGATCTCTACAAAGGGGATGGGTGACCACTGCCCTAAAGGCAGTGTCTCACTGCTGCCCCCTTTGGTTTAGATTTATCTTTACACTCTAACTGTTTTCTTCCTCTCTTTCTATCCTATTCCTTATTTCTCTCATTTGCTGTCTTGTATCGTGTCTGTGTTACAAATAGCCCTTTGTTTTTGGTTGTATGTACGCACACACTGTGATTCCGTCGCCCTCCACCTACCTGAAGTCTCCAGAGCTTAAAAACAGTCCCCTGGTGAACATCTGTTAGGATACCCATTATGAAAAAAGAATGTTTAAATATTTAGTAGGGCTGGCCCGAACACCATTTTACAGGATTTCAATACTTGCTGGTGTTTCTAAATGAGTACCTGGACATTCGTTCTAAAAACCAGTCAAACAGAATAATAATTATGTTTCATCATTAACCAAAAATATCAAGTATGGTTGTTACTGGAGTTCAAAACATATACAATAGGCACCAATTATATACAGTATAGTGCAGAGCCTGGGATGTACTTTTTTTGTTTTGTTTTGTTTTTTTTACATTTTTATATTCCCATATATTAGCTGTTCTATCTTCCAAAGACTTTTGCTGATGACATTGATTGTAGTTTTTTGTGGCTTAACAAAGATAAAGTTTCCGAATAATCAAATGAGAAACAAACATGACCCATGTAACAAACAAATACTCAACTGTTCAGATTATTCGGGCCAGCCCTAATGTTTAGTAATGTTAAACATTACAGGTGGATTCCAATTTGACATTTTGCCCTTGATAGCTTTGGTAATGGTTATTTTTGAGGGGGTCTTAAAATGCCAGTGGACAAAAAAACACTAATTTCTGTACATTAAACTGTATTTAGCTCTTTCAAACTGTGTAGCAATTTAAACCACATATTAGTGCACCAAAACAAAAGCAGAGGGCGTAATGATCCCTGTCCATACTTGCAGATTTCAGAATGGCTAGTCTTTCTTTCAGGTGCACGGTATCACTACGTCACATTCACACCCAACAGCCTGTCTGGGATTGGTCTTATGAAATCCAGTTATTCAACATCCTTTCTTGCACTGCAGGTGGTTCTGCTACAAAATCTGAACAGTTTCAGGCCAAACCCTGACTCTGTGAGGCTACTTCAAGCCTAATACGATGCTGTCTTTCATACACCAAACGCACGGAATGTATTAGTACATGGTGTATTTGGTGTTTTGTAACACTAAGTAAGTACCCGGTATACACTACAGATTTTTTTTTTTTGGTGAGGTTGGAACACTACATCTTCTATTTGAAAACATAATACTGCTCCACTGAAATTAAATTAGTGATGTTATTCACACAGAACTGAAACTACAAGCCACTTTCCTGAACATGTATTTAAGCCTAGTCTTGGACTAAACTGCGGTGCCAATGGTGAATCACCATTGGGAACTTTTTTGTCTCTGTTTAGGTTTAATTGTTTTGAGAAAATATACATACATGTTTATAGGGCATGCATTTGCTAACATTGCCTTCAAATGCTTGAAAGGAAACACTAAAATCAACGAATATATATACATATTATAAGTCTCACACTACAGAAGCATCACTAATTCCTATTGGCCAAATTTTACTTTGCACTTAGTCCAGCCTTACTGTCCTAAACAGAGGTCCTGTAACAACATCATAACCAAATATGCTATTTATGAGAGCTCTATTACCTGCTTGTCTAAGTGCTATGATGGCTCATCCAGAAAAATCATGTGCATTTGTTTTAGCACAAAAGATCCTAGAACTTTAGTTTTTAATAGGAAAAATGTGAAGAAGAGCAGCTTTCTGTGAAAAGTCCATCACATAGGTCAATATGTTCAGTCAGAATGCTGCTTTGTTTTAGCATTGTGCACTTCTGTGGTTGTTTAACCTCCTAAAATGGGAATCCAACTGAATTTTTGAAATTTCTATATTATTCAATCATTAAAATGTAAAGAAAGCCATTCACAGTGGCTTGAAAATTGTTCACAGTGGTGGTGATAGGAGCCAGATGTCTACAGAGTTTCATCACCGAATGTTACGACATGACATGATTACAAATAACCTGCCTCATGCCTGATAAATGGTTTTATTTAGGATGAGATTTTGGCCTAAAATGCATTCCTTGAAGGCATGCAGATTGGAGTGGTACACGCAGAGTGCTTTAAGGCAAAATAGTACCCAAAGGAAACATGCGTCAAAAATATCCCATATAAAAAGTCATGGTTATTTTGGTTAATAAATAAAATGCCTATATTTGCACTGTAGACATCCCCATTTCTGGTCCCAATCACCACCACTACAAAAAAACGTGAGGTAAATTTTTCTAGCATGCCGCATTTTGCACCAAACCACTTTGAATGTCAGAATTACATTAGAATTTTGAAAAATGGGTGGAATTCCACTTTAATGCTGAAGCAGATAAGTATTTTTTTCTGAACATACACTGAAGTGCTTTTTTATTATATAATAGCTGTTTTCTTTGTACAGGGATAAAGAAACTGTCCTTATTGTTCCTGTCAAATAGTATCTTGTGCCATTTTATTTTATTTTATTTTATTTTATTTTTTTTTTGTTTTTGTCTAAAGTTTATTTTCTGCCTGTTCATGTTGGATAACAATACCTGGATCAAATAACTCGATTAATATTTGCGATATACTGCTTCAAGTGTACTCAGCTTTGGTGGGCCATTTACTAACCCATGCCACTAGTGCCTCTTGTGTACTTAAATCAGTTACTTTCTCTATTCCTTTGTCTGTGCAGTATCACGTAATGGGCTGTTTAGGCTATCTGTCATGGTTACAAATCACTTTAATGTATGTATATGCGCTTAAATTCAATTATTATGCACTTTCAAAATAAGATGAACAATAACATCCTTTTATGAGACGTCTCATTGCCTCTTGTGGCATCCTGACATTACTCGGTGTTTCAGGACAGAATGCAAATGAGTGAGGAGTGCAGTTTGCGTCAGGGACGGGAGGTTTACTGACAGTGAGGATGCTTTCATGTAAATCTATATATTTGTTATTTTTTGTTGCTGTTCAATATTGTATAAAGTACTATGCAGCACTACTATTAAAGATGACAAAAACCTAGTAAAATGTGCTGTTTCTTTGATTTTTTTTACAAGAAGATTATTTAACAATGAATGAAATGTGTTGCAATTCTTATGTAAACTGATATCACGGCTGTATTGTTTAATACAGGTAAGGAGCTCACATGAAATGGCATCATGGCTGAAAAGCAGTGCATTTAATTTACTTGATTCAGATATAAACACAATTTCCATAATAAAATAATGAAACCAACAGAGCTATTCTGTAAGAAAATTTAAAGATAAAGTAGTTTTGATTTAAAATGTAATATATTTATCACTCTGAAAGGATCTGTATTTATATTCTATGCATTCATTTTTTCAATGTGTTTTAAAAAGCCAAGGCCATTTCTAGACGAAAAGCTGCTTTTTCTTTTATGTTGTCAGATCTTCCAGAAGAGAATACGCAGTTACTGGGGTCTTACTGGGACAGAAAGTGGTAGGTGCTATAAATGGAAACACTGCAGTGCCAGATTGTGGTCATCAGACCTGTGACGTCAAATAGGCCCTATGCTGCCATTCCACTTACTGCCTCTAGATGGAGACATTCTCTTTACAACCCAAAGACAAATACCTGCCATGAGCTGGAACTGCACTTGATTAGCTTACGGCATTATTAAAACTGACTGTTTATTCATGAACCATTCAGGCAGGCCTAAGACAGAAGAGTTCATATGTGAATAGAATTGTTGGAATTATATATAGAAACACTGTTAGAATTATAAGCGAAATATTACATCCATTACTTCATTAAATACTTCATGTAATACCAGGATACAATAATTAATCAGTTTGTAAGCACCACTTAAGGCAGCTCTGTTGGTCTAAAGAGGATTAAATGTATTAATTAGTGTAATTGTGACCAGACTAACCCATTTAAATTCCATGTGTAAGTATAACTCATTAAATCCATATCTGACATTTTTTTAAGTTTCCTTTGGTGTATATGTATTCTCAACTTTGCCTGAGCACAAACCGTATGGCTAAAAGGTGAGTTTTATCACTTAATCTAGTTTTTTGGTCACATGGGACTATTGGATTTTAACAAAGTAATCAGAAATCCAAATTTGATTGTGAATAAAAGTATGAAAATTACATATTTCCAAAAATCCAGGGAATTCTACCACATTTAATCACTTCAGACCAATCAGAACAACTTCTGTGGTATTTTCCTTATAATACTAACTTGAGTTGTACGTGAAAGCGTTAAAAAAGGATACATTAACCCTCTGACTTGGTTCCCAGCTTTGAGCCAGCCTCTAATGCTGATGACACTGTCATAATTCCCTTCGCCACTAGAGGTCAGTAAGGACTGCAGGATTTCCTCTGCACTACTGTCTCTATATTTAAGTGAGTTGTTTCCTAGAACAGTACAAGTCATTTAAATCCATCCCATTAGGTTGCCATGAGTGTCATTTGTATTCATAAGCTTATTATTTTTAACCTGAAACATGGTGATCTGATCCAACTGTGAGCTAGTGAACATATTGATTTTACTGCTTTCAAACAATGCAAATTATTAAACTCTGCTGTTGAATTTTGGTTACTGTATTTAAAGCTCTGTCAGCAGATCTGTTAAGCATAACTTTGACTACCCTCAGGTGCGTCCTCAACAGCACATCTCCCTCCCCTGCTTACTTCAATGGCTGTAGTGACTAAAAATAGGACACAGTAATACTGTTATATAATAACACAGTCTGATGGGTTGTATAAATGTTATAAACGATTACCAACAATTTTCTGCCCTATACTAGTCTATTCACCGCTTAATGGAAAAATCTGTTTCCATGGAATCATGCAGCACGTTTTCAACCACCAATCATAATGCAGCCACATACTCATAAATATTAATGGAAATTCCGCCGATTTTTTAAAATGTCTGCACATTTTAATTGCTGAGATGTAAACAAAGTCATTCAGAGTGGTTTGATGTGAAACGGTTCATTGTAGAGAAACATACTGGACGTCTTTACAGTGGTGGTCATAGTAACCAGGGGTCTTGATGTTTACAACACATATATACCCATTTTATCAACTATCCAAAACCACTAGTGAACCTACGCGTGTCTTCTGAGTTTTAACAAGCAATGTTGATAATAGTAAAACAGTGGTAAATCCAATAATATGTTTTTTTGGGCAACTATTTTGCCTTATAATGCCTTGCATGTACCCCTTTGCCATGATTTGTTTTTTAAATATGTTTGGGTCCAAAATTTTATCTCAAAATTATTGTAAAACAGTGTCTCGGACATCAGGCAGTGTATTCACAACCATGCAACGTAATAATTTTCTGTGAGGGAGCTTCTGGTGGCCTTTTAAGGCCAAACAATTCTGACTCTTTTCTCTAGAATGAGAATGTATTTTATATCAATCCACCAATGACTTTGTTTATATTTTAAACATTGAGTTATGCTGATATTTCCAAAATAGGTGGAATTCCCCTTTAATTCAGATTACTAGCACTAGAATGTAGCTTGACAACAGCAGCTGGATAGATGAATCAGGGATGTACAACAGTCTAACTGTAATATGTTTTACTGTAACATCACTATGCTTATATTTACAGTACTGGACTATATCATGATAAGGATGATTAAAATGTGAAGTATATTTATACTTTTCTCAGTTCTTCACAAAGTCCTTCTGTTGGTTACGTTAATACCCAGCTATTCTGTCTTGTTCTCTAAAATGTACTTTCTATTTTGTATCTCAGTAAAGCTTCAGCCTCTGATCGTTATGTGATGGCAGATTTAACTCATTTTAAAGGGACATCCAATGTTTTGAATTGCTAAAATGATTTTGATGAATGAGTTCTTTAAAATGGATTTGGCATACTTCTAAGGTCAGACACAAAAATGTCCTCCCATAGGCTTCCACAGGGCATAGAACTGATTTGCTGCATCTAATTAAGCACATAAGCAGTTTAGTATCACATTCCTGCAGGCTTGTGTGAATAATGAGTGACTATTTTTAATTTTGACATTTGAATATCACCCAAATTTATTTTAGTTAGTATCCTGGCTAAATGCTAACAACTGTTTCTTCACCTGAGAAAGTGGAAAGCGACTATGTAGAAAAATGTATCACAATCTACAACATAAAAAATATTGCCTTCATTCAGTGCTTTATTAGATTCTCAACATGGAAATAGTATAACTATTGGAGAATACTGTGTTGCTGTAGTAGCAGTTTTACTCAGTTTAACCCTGTGGAAGACTTCTGGGAAAAAAAAAAACATTGTGAAGTAATAAATCCAAAAAAAATAAAAAAATAAAAAATAAATCAAAAACAAAAAACTCAAAATTGTGTTAAAATGTTGTATTATTCCTTTTATAAATAGACTTTAGCATGACAAACTAATTGTTATTACTATTAGTGTTATTAGTGTTACAGTATTAGTTTATCCAAGTGAAGACATCCATCACCAGCCCTCATGCTAAAATGCTTTTGGACTGCTCCACATTATCTGTTCACTTAATTTGCTGAAGTCAATAGGATTTGGAAATCATAACGCTTTTTCCTTCTATAACATGACGTACTTCTGAGTGAAACACGGCATCAGAGAGGGTTTCTGAGTTAGCTGAGGCTTTCATCCCAATGACAGATGGGAGAGGGAGGAGGTGAAACATTATTACTGGTTAACATTATTGGGTATGTGGTGATGTAACCAAAAATCAGAAAGTCGCTACATGCAAAATGATATATGACATGATATGATTAATCAAGCTTAAGATGATCAGGCACACAAAGTATCAAAGTAAATAAAGGTACATTTTAAATTCAGATTGACTTTAAATCATACATCACAGAGCTTCAAAATGGTAATGCTTTGACAGGCCTTATGATTTTGTTGTATTGTTTTCTTGCTTTAGTCCATCAGTGTTCTCTCACTACAATACCCAGCTTGCATCCCCTGCAAATACATCATTCAACCACTAGAAAAACCCTGCAGTGCTTAGCAAATCCTGACAGCTAGCCACTGAAACAGAGGCTAATAAATCTGAGGAGCTAGCAAGCATTAGTGACACAGCATCTGGTCATCAAACAATTTTCTTTGTTAAAGGATTAATTCAGCCGAAGAATTAGCCAGTTAGGGAAAAAAGTGAAAAAGTATCCACCCTAAAATCTTTCAAAATTCACTACTACCTTCAAGATACATCATCATAAGGGGGCTTACCTAGCCTTCAAACTAAGTAATCTTACTTTAGAGAGTACTGTGGCATCACTTAAAGAGGCGACTAGATATGTTTACAAGAGGTGTAGTGATGGTTTAAATTTTTTATTTTGGCTGGAGTGTTGCTTTAAGTAACCTACTGAGTAACTTCAACATGCAGAACCTCTTAGAACATTCAGCATCTATAAGCATAGAAACTGAAGTTTGTTAGACATTTCTTTTGTCTTTTGGAGCCTAAAATAAAATGATAAACCTCAGTAGTCAGAGTTCCTGTCACCAACATAACAGAATACAATACATAAAAAATAAATAAAAAGTAACTAAATGTTAATCACTTAAAGGTACACACACTGATCAGGCATAAAATTATAACCACCTCCTTGTTTCTACGCTCACTGTCCATTTTGGATGGATCATTCTCAGCACTGCAGTAACACTGACGTGGTGGTGGTGTTAGAGTGTGTGTTGTGCTGGTCTGAGTGGATCAGACACAGCAGTGCTGCTGGGGGTTTTAAACACCTCAGTGTCACTGCTGGACTGAGAATAGTCCACTAACCAAAAATATCCAGCCAACAGTGTCCTGTGGGCAGCGTCCTGTGACCACTGATGAAGGACTAGAGGATGACCAACACAAACTGTGCAGCAGCAGATGAGCTATCGTCCCTGACTTTATATCTACAAGGTGGACCAACAAGGTAGGAGTGTCTAATAGAGTGGACAGTGAGTGGACACAGTTTTTAAAAAACTTCAGCAACACTGCTGTGTCTGATCTACTCGTACCAGCACAACACACACTAACACACCACCACATCTGTGTGTTACTGCAGTGCTGAGAATGACCCACCACCCAAATAGTACCTGCTCTGTGAGGGTCCATGGGGTCCTGACCACTGAAGAACAGGGTAAAAGGGGGCTAACAAAGTATGCAGAGAAACAGATGGACTACAGTCTGTAACTGTAGAACTACAAAGTGCACCTATATAGTAAGTGGAGCTGATAAAATGGACAATGAGTGTAGAAACAAGGAGGTGGTCACAATGTTATGCCTGATCTGTGTATTTGTGAGTAGAAAATTACTACCATTTGAATATACTCTAGAAAGTACCACTACCACTTCTGGTTAGTATTTCATGACAGTGTCAGATTTAAAAAAAAACAAAAAAAAAAAACTGGCTAATTCTTCAGGTGAAAGTATGAGATATTTAGGCCCATGTAGAGCACAGTAAAGCAGAAATGCTAGCTAAGTGTAAAATAAAGTAAAATCTTGTCCATCCTCCCCAACATTCTCACATGTCAGGACTCAAACTTAAGCCCCTCTAACATTCTTTAAAATCGAGTAAAACTGGTTTGTAGACCTCACCTCAAGGAAATGGAGGACAGAGTCGTTATTTTAAGAAGCCACAGCTTTAGTTTCAGTCATGGAAAAGAAGAAAATAACGTTTGGTTCTTTGATCAGTCTGTTTTTTTTCTTTAAAGTAGGATGCTAAGCTAACCTGAGGTACGTCGCCCTGTCTGCCTGGTCTTTTCCATTTTTTGGCATATAACCCTGAAAAAGAGTCGGATTTTAAAGCTGTTTTCTAAATATATTATTTAAACGATGCTAAAAAGCATTTTTAAAAGTATTTTTCATCGGTTTTCAGGGTCAAAAACGGCCAGCTTTTCCTCACAAGTGCAGACACAACACCAACATCAAGCTAGCATCAACAAATCTATCCACCATGTAACTGTGTGTGTGTGTGTGTGTGTGTGTGTGTGTGTGTGTAAATCCATTTAGCTCACTCATGTTGTTAAATAAATAAAAGGACATAATGGACCAAGGTCACTCCTTAGTCCTTTTCAGTCCACTGAAACAATAAGACGCCTTTATATTACAGTTTTTGGAGATATTTCACATACATATAAGGTCATATTCCTCACAGATAACTGGCGCAGGTTAAATAACTGGTGCTCACCACAACACACCAATTGCCTCAGATCAATTCTCATCAGCAGAGGAGAAAAAAGGTAAAGCCTCTCATCTTCTCCATCCGTGAGAATGTGCCCTCTCCAAATATTAGACCAGAAAAACACATATTAGGACCCCACCATAAGCCCCATGAGTACGAAGAAGCACTTACCTTTTTTTATTAAAGTGATCCAGTCGCAGCGCACGGGCTGGTTTGGATGCGGATGGTTGTGGCGCACCGCGCGCAATCCCTGCGCTCTGCGGAGATCACGAAGCGCCTGTACGCGGAGCAGCTCGACAAATGAAGCAAAAGTCTGCGGTAAAAACGTGGCATTTCTATCTCGTCAGCTATCAGACAGCAGCAGGTTTTGGCCGACTGGTGCCAAGAGCGCTCATGGCTCAGGGCGCGCAACTCTCTCTCTCTCTCTCTCTCTCTCTCTCTCACTCTCTCTCTCTCTCTCTCTCTAGATGCATCGTGCCTCGGTCTGGCGTGTCATCATCAGAGCTGAACAGCAGAACTTGAGGGAATTTTGTGGAGCAGCTGTTCGTCCTGACAACCGTGAAGGGGATCTGCGCTTCTCTGAGGGCGAAGCCTGCTGACCGTGTCGTTTAGGGAGGGGGTGCCGATACATTTTCACACTCCCTCTGCTAGTTTCAGAGGCTGAAGCTTTTTCAAGGTGTGTCCTTTGGACGCCCCTGCATTTTTTTTTCTTTAACCAGTCAGGATAAACAACCCATCCAGACTCAGTAAGTGTGAGCTTTTTTCAGTGGATTTGACTGGAACTTCTAATACTGGCTGTATAATAAAAGAAAGCAGAGGGGAATGAGCTGTTATAGGGAGAATATTTAAGGTGACACTTTCGTGCGTCATGATTGTGCCTGCTGGAAATATCAATTATTCATTCAGGTGTTAAAAATAAGGAGTTATGTGTTTTATTTTGGGGTCAGTTATTGGATGTTTTTGCTGTGGCTTTTTAAAATTTTCTATGTGGTTATTTCTTATTTATTTTTAAAGGGCAGTTATGTTACATTACACTATATCATTTGAGCACATCTATATCACTATTATGAGAGCCAGTAGGCCTTATGTCCAGGCCCATTGTTGAGTATTAAGTTTTCTGTTTTATGGCATCAAATGTTACGCTAAATTAAACTAAAAAACTCATTTCTGTTTTATCAGCTCCACTTACTATATATATATATAGGTGCACTGTAGTTCTACAATTACAGACTGTAGTCCATCTGTTTCTCTGAATACTTTGTTAGCCCCCTTTCACCCTGTTCTTCAGTGGTCAGGACCCTCACCGGACCACCCCAGAGCAAGTATTGTTTGGATGGTAGATCATTTTCAGCACTGCAGTGACAATGATGTGGTGGTGGTTAGTTAGTGTGTGTTATGCTGGTACGAGTGGATCAGACACAACAGTGCTGCTGGGTTTTTTAAACACTGTGTCCACTCACTGTCCACTCTATTAGACACTCCTACCTTGTTGGTCCTCCCTGTAGATGTAAAGTCAGAGATGATAGCTCATCTGTTGCTACAGTTTGTGTTGGTCATCCTCTAGTCCTTCATCAGTGGTCACAAGATGCTGCCCACAGGACACTGTTGTCTGGATATTTTTGGTTGGTGGACTATTCTCAGTGATTGTCTGATCTACTTGTACTAGTGCAACAGGCACTAACACACCACCACTACATCAGTGTCACTTCAGTGCTAAGAATGATCCACCACCCAAATGATACCTGCTCTGTGGTGTTCCTGTGGGAGACCTGACAGGGTAGAAGGACAGGGTAAAGTATCCAGAGAAACAGATGGACAACAGTCTGGTGAATGTTTCTTACTCAAAAATTCCTATCCTATTTGCTCAATATTGATTTATGAATTTTTATTATGTTGTATTCTCCGGTCATGACAGCTGTTGTTTTTAGGCCTAGGCTACATGTTCCTAATAGAGTTTGCTCTGTCGTTCCTTTTGTAGCCATGCCAAGTCCACTGGAGAAAGTCGTGGCACAGAAGAAGGAGGCCATTGAGGCCGTTATGGAGGTCTTTGAGAGAGGGGCGGAAGTGCTGGCCAGCACAGTTGGGGAGCTTTTCCCGCTGTGTGAAGCCGCTGCTCCGGTCCTGAGGCTAGCCCTGGACAACGTGCAGAGCAAAGAAGTGTTCTATGTCAAAGAACAGTTTCTAGCTGTGAGAAACCGGCTTGATATAATTTCATCTCAGTTAGAGGACATTGACTGTGAGATTAAGAAGGGACGCCTGGACTCACAGTACTTTTCCGTGGAGGAGAACCTATGCAATCAGTTTCGCAAGTACCTGGACATCTTGGAGGCCAAGCCCCAGTTCCGTGAGGTCAAAACGCGGTTGTTCTTGGAGCATTTTAGCAAGACAGGAGGTGAGAGAAACCTCTATGTTCTGTATGACGCTTTAATGGGGAACAACACATTCGGAGAATCCATCCTGGAGGTGGTGGAGAAATATGAGGCTAGAAACAGGAGGGTCCTGGAGGATTTCTGTGTCAGGATGAAGGAACTCTTCTGCTTGGGGTTGATTGCCTTGCTGGGCCATTGTGCTCTTACCCAGGGGGAAGACTTAGAGCAAGAGAAGATCCGAGAATGGAGTGAGAAGATTCAAGAGGTGGAGAGCAAGATGAAGGCCGCCATTGAAGAATGTGTGACACTTTTCGCTGAGCAGGCTAGGCTGGACGTCCAGAGGCTGGTCCAGGGGAGAGAAGGCAAGAGTCTCCAGGACACTGCCCAGGAGCTGCTCAGTTTTCTGGTCAGGAAGTACGATTGGGTCAGGTGGTCAGTCCGTGTCGTCAACCATTCAGGAAGCAGCTACCGCAACTGGAGAGCCGGGGACAACTTCCAGTACATGTCAGGACAAGGCTGGTTTGATGTTTTGCAGGTGAATGACACTAACGTGGTGGTGTCCTACTGCAGCAACCCCCAGCCTCTTCCCAAGGAGAGCATCCAGCAGATCATGGATGGTCCCGCTAAGAAGGGAGATGCCAAAGCTGTGGTGGAAACTTTGGAGAAGCAACTGCCTGGGCTCGTGGTCCATGCTGTAAGCCGTCATAAGGAGAGTTATGCAGCATGGAACTTTCCAGAAGACTGCCATCACTGGGAGAGACATAAAAATGTGGCCTTGTGCGTGCATTCAGATTAGCATAGAGGTTAAAGAAATGGTAATGTGGAATATATAGTAACATACATGAAACTTGAACAACCCTTCAGTTAAATGTTTATTAGGAAATACTTTATTGTATTTTCATCCCTATGTATGATGTTCTAGCAGCTACTTGTATTCTGTACTCGTATGTATCATACTAATCACTGTCTGATCTCAATGTTCATTCCTCAGGCCTTGATAACGGAATATAACCTGTATGTGTATCATTAACCACAGCATGTATGTTGATATTCATTGTATTATTTATTTACATTATCTACATTGTCTTGTTGGGCTGTCACTCTTTACTATGTTAGCATTTGTTTAGATTATTATTTTGGTGAATCATCGAGTTATCAGGGTTTAAAAAAAAGTCATAAACAGGGGGCGTAACTATGGAGTCCTACGCTACCACTGATCATGTAAAATGGCAAGAAAAGACGTATTTTATAAAACACCAATATGTAAACGCAGCATTAGCTTACTTCACTGTTTCTCCTGACGATGACAACTGTGAAAAGGCAACAACATCATCACAATCTTTAGCCATTCGGCCTAGATGTCTACGTCTAATGCTGTGAAAGGTAGGACTCTGGTTAATTATCCTATACCCGTCATAGCCTGCTGTCAGTGGTTATAGTAACTAATGTTAACGAGTTAAATGCAAGGTCAACTATACTATGTTGTGTTTAATATTCATAAAAGTTTGTCCCCTCTGATTAATGGGTAGGTAATTTTTTAACAATTTGGTCGTCATCCTCACTATAGTGATGTTTCCAGGCCTTAAGACTTGCCAACTGCCCTCTAATCACCACACCCCCCCAAATTGAATTTCTGGCTACACCACTGGCCCAAACAATAAAAATGATCTTAACTTAAGAATTAGAAATATGCGTAGGATTTCAAAGATTAAAAAATGCTTTATTGGAAAAGGATAACCAATATCAATGTAAAATATGCATTATCACTGCTAACAAATCATTGCCGATTCACCAAGATTATAAATTTTAATTGATGAGTAATAGTGACAGCCCTAGTGTCCTGTAGCATTTCAAGTTATTCTGTAAATGCATGAAGCTGTGTTGTTCTGAATCCATCTCTTCAATATAAAACACTGTCTTGTAAGGCAAATACTGAATACTGGTTTTGCTAAACGGCTTTGTGAGCAAGAGTAAGACACATGGCGTTAGACTGTACACTGGCCATTCTCATTGTGTCAGGACTGCCAAAGTGCTGCCCCATTTTTGTCTGTGCAGGTCTGCTGTCTTAGCCTGGCCTACATAGACCTGAAAGTGGGCATGAAAGATGTCTTGTCAACCATGAAAAGGACAGCCAAAGTGAAAAGAGTGGGCAGCTCAGGAGTCCAACCCAGATGCCTGGTTCTCCAAGCTCCCTTTGTACTGTAAACCCTGCTGACTGCAAAAATAAAACAAACTCATTAGAAACTCTATGGTCAATGGGTGTTTTTTTTTCATTATATCCCAGAAAAAATGTATGCTGTAATCTAGGACTGAACGATATTAACAAAATACCGTTTAATTATTTTAAATAAAAAATAAGTTTATATTGCTTCATATTTCAGTAAAACTTTATTTGAATAGTGCCTGAATAAAGACTTCATTACACATTCATTTATGCATTGATTAATGCATTTATGAAGAAATACTTCAATATTTATAAACAGCTTGTGACAGAAATCAGAAATAAACTAGTCCTCTGACTTACAAGTTTCAGTACTTGGGAATGATGCGTCATAACAGCGTTATAAATTGACCAAATGTCTGTCATTTTAGTTTAAGAGCCCCCTATGTCAGTCTACTTCTATAAGCTATTTATAAATATTCTACTACTTTATAGATATGCTTTTCAAATATGTTATTCAATTCAATGTCACCCTTCAAATAAAGTGTGACTCATATTGTGATATGCCTTTCAATATATTAATACCATATAGATCAACCATTAATGTAACATGGTTTAAGACCTGCACTGTTTTGGCCAAAATACTTGTATTTGTTGGATAACATCTGGAACTGTGACTGGTCAGTATGTTCACACTAAGCATTTAGTGATTTCTTCAAGGGTTTACGTACAAACTGTAACCTACACTGGCAACATCACTGTTGCAAATGTCTCTATTGCAATAGACCTTAACAAATATTGTGCAGCCCTACTGTGATTTATTGTCTTTGCTGTAGATAACAGCTACAGCTACCAATCAGAGTTATATATGGCACGCATAATGCAATTCTCGTTTCCTGTTATTGTTTCACAATACCGTGATTAACAAACCTTTGTTGACGTGGATTGCTGTTAAATCTATGCGGCGGACACATACACCACTCAAAGCTGCGTTTAATTTAATTACAGCATTTACACATAAGTCAGCATTTCCCACCATCCAGGCCTGCTTTAATAGATGGAGAGTAACTCTGTCAGTACAGGGCAGCTGAGGCCTAGAATGCTGAACTCAGCTCGTTGGAGCTGGTCATTAAGGCTGCTGAGGTGGAGAGCTGGGGAACGATCCATCATTTCTTTGTCAGTCAAGAGAGGTAGAATAAGGGCTTAAGGTAGTATGCTGCCCTACTGTAAATCTATACAGCCGAAACAAATGGGCTTGTGGTCTTTGAGCCATGTGTCATGTAAACCGTCCTTGGGTGCAGTTATCTGTATATTAAAATATTCTGATGTAGGCAAATTGATATGGACAGGACATGTAGTCGTCTCTCATTTGAGGTAATTCTTCTTTCAGCGCCCTGGCTAGTTATAACAAATGTAATAAATAAAACAAGCATAAGTTCATTAAAAAGGTATATATATATAGCAGTTCACTGTGACCAGTTGTCCCAATTATATGCCATAGCTTTTAGGGGCCCATATTCTATACTTTCTCTATGTTGTATTTTTTCCCACTGAAATCCCTGTGAATTTGTGTGGATTAATATAACTAAAACCTCCTCATTTTCACATGACCATTTTCCAACTTCTCTTTAACCCTTTGAATTGACACATTAATTTTTATTTAAAAGTGTCCTTTGGTCATGTCGTCTGACCTTGCCTAAGCATGAAACCAGAAGAAAATGTTCAAATTGTTCAAGGTATATGGTTAGAAAGTATGTTTTTATCACTTATTTTATTCTTTGGCCACATGGGACAACTGATTATTAACTAAACAATGGAACATTTGACGTGAATATAAATATTTATGAAATTTAACATGTAATCAGAAACATTCAAATATGTACTATTAGATGTCCATCCATATTGTAACTACAGTGTCAGTGTCTCAAAAAGAGCATACAGATCTGGAGGTGAAGAATGGGGAAGAAAAAGAGAAGATGCAAAGAAAAAGCTTAAAGATAAAGGAAATGTTTTTTGTGGTGTTATTGTTATTGTGTTATTGGTGTTATTGAAATGTTTTGTCTCAAAGTTGGACAACAAGAAGTAGCCAATCTGTCTAACAAAGCAGTTTCACCTTAGACAGGCTTTCTAATTGAGTTTCAGCATCACAAAATCTAACAAACACAGTCACGGTTAGCCTGATTTACAACGGCGGTTAACAACTTTCTCTGTTATTCCAGGTTTAGATACTTAGGCCATGATTAATCCTCATGAATGTGCACATGAAAGCATAATGTTTATGACAAGCAGCCAATCGTGTGAAACAAATTTAATTTGAACACTTTCTCAGTGTTTATGTAAGTGCACACCAAGTTTTGCTGCATCCTCAAATGCAAGAGTGTACTGTGCACAATGGAATCAACATTGTTGAGAAACGCTGCCAAGTTCTCTGGGCTTGAACTCATCTGAAATTGGCTGATGCATAGCAGAAACGTATATTGTGGTCTGTAGAGTCAACCTTTCGGATTGTTTATTGAAACAATGGAAGTCATGTTCTCCAGGGCATAGAAGCCAAGGACCATCCAGATTGTTACCAGTGTAAAGTTCAATCATTTTACAGGGGTTTTAGGGGTAGCTATCACACATCTGTGAAAGCACCATTAAGGCTAAAAGAGATATACAAATTTTGGAGCAATATGCTGCCTTTTAGACACCGTTTTTAAGGGACATCCATGCTTATTTCAGCATGACAGCACCAACCAACATTATGCATGTGTTACAACAGCATGGCTGCGTAATTAGACAGTGCAGGTACTAGACTGACTGAAAATGCGTGGTGCATTATGAAGTGCAAAATATGACAACAATGGCCCTGTACGGTTGAGCAGCTGAGGACTTATACAACAGAAGAATGGCTAAAATTCCACTTTCAATACTGGATCAGTTTGTGTCTTCAGTCCCCAAATGTTTATTAAGTGTAGTTAAAAGAAAAGGTGATGCAACACGGTGGTAAACATGCTGCTGTCCCAGCTTTTTAGGAATGGGTGGCTGGCATCAAATTAAAAATGAGTGTATATTATATACAGTATGTATTGATACTGAAATATTGATCCTTCCTATTCTGACATTTCTTGATCCTCACAGGACAAAATTGATACTAGGTGTTTTCTTGAAGTAGCAAATTGAATATATATTGGTGTTATTAAACTGATGGTAAAAAGTAAAAGATCACAGCAAAAAAATGTGTAGAAACTAAAAAACATAGAGCTATGTCCCTAAAAAGGCAGTTTATGCATCAGTGTATTTAATACTAATGCAAAAACTTTCAAATATAATTTTAATGTTTTACTTTTCACTGCAGAAATCACAACAAATTCCTTCTTCTAAAAGTATTGGGATCAGTATTAGCGTCAGGATTACTTGGTATAAGATCAAAAAGAAAATTAGTGGGATTGCTGATCCCTAAACAACAGTGGACTGGTAACTGATGCACAAAATACCATCATGGTTGGGAAAGTTGTATTTAAATGTAATAATAATAATAACATGTTACAACAAAAAGACTCTTGTGAAGTGAACTGTTGGCAGAAAAAATAACAGCAAATTAACAAAAACTAACAAAACCACAACCACCCAATGCTGGGAAACTCCACCCCCAGCAATTGCCATAAATATTGACTGGAAACTAACTCTTTGCAAGAGCAAGGTTACACCCTCCTAAAACACGAGGCTCTGGGTTTTATTACCACCAAAATCAAAACTTTTTAACAACGTAATATTTGCTGTGTACTACATTTAGTTGTTAGACATAAACGGGTTAAACAGGTT